AACATACTCCCTTCTAATAAAAAAGTTTCTGTGGCTGATCCTTCCTTATCTTATCAAGTTATAGGTAAAGTTTTAACTAACTTCACTTTATTTAGTATGGAATACTCTATTACATACATTTTTGGTTACACCCTATTTTTGTGAACAAATTATACTTGGTAGAGATTTCCTACAGTTGCACCAACATCTTTATATCAATTATAGTGGTGAAAAAGATTTTTTTAAAACCTGTTTTAACAAGTGTTATAATGAAAGCTAGTACTCTTCTACTTTTTCCATATCCAGAATGTAAACTGAATGCTTCACCTTCTAGACGATATAACTCAGAGGACAAAGCATTTATTAAACATGAAACAAAAACTTTTAAAACTAGATATAATTGAACCCAGTAACTCCCCTTAGCAATCACATATATTTGATTCCAGGAATGAGAGACATAAGAAACGCATGATCATTGATTACTCACAAACAATAAATCACTTTACAGTTAACTCTGTTGCAAAATATTCATTATTTAGCACATTTGATTTAAAGTGCTTATCATCAAATACCTCTCCTAGAAAGTGACAAGTAATATACTGCCTTTGAGTCCAATGGACATCTTTTCCAATTTAAAAGAGTTCTTTTTGGCTTCACTAATGCTGTCACACAATTTCAAAGAATAATGGATAAGTTTATAAATAAATTAAAAGACACCTTTGTATATCTAGATAACTTGCTTGTATGTGGTGCTTCTAAAATTATACATGATTTCAATTTAGAGAAATTTCTCAAAGCTTCTATGAATTATAAACAATTATAAATATTTTTTACTTTGTGTATAAACTCCTGATCCAGATTGGTTAAAGCCATTAATTGAAATGCCTGCTTCCACTGATAGTGTTTCTCTCTGTCAAGTCCTTGGTATGTTCTCATACTATTCCTAATATATCAAACGTTTTTCTGACAAAATTCATCCTTTATCTCTAACTTCTACCTTTCCACTGTCAACTAAAGCTATTAAGTGTTTCAAAGAAATGAAAGAATTTATCTCTCAATCAGCTCTACAAGCTATTGATAAAAGTATCCTATTTGAGATGGAAATAGATGCCTCTAATTTTGCCATAGCTTCTTCCCTTAATCAGGCTGGAAGATCAGTTGCATTCTTTTCTCGCAAACTTTCACCTACTGAAAAAAAAGTTCTTGTGTTGAGAAGGAAGCTTATACTATTGTCGAATCACTTTGAAAAAGGAAACACGACCTTGTTGGTCAGCATTTTATCCTAGTCACTGACCAGTGCTCTTTCTCTTTCAAGAGTGGAAAATTTAAAAATGACAAGATTCTGAGGTGGAGGATAGAACTTTCTTTGTACAGCTACGATATAGTTTATTGCCCTGGACATAACAATTTTGTTGCTGATGCGCTCTCTAGATCTTGTTGCTCTATGGCTATAAATGGACCCTCTCTTCAGGCTTGGTCGGGAAGTGGAAGTGATCGCTCTTGATTGCTGACCACAAAAATAATATTTAGTTGCGAAAAGCTGGCCAGATTTTTTAGTCGTTTTAAGAACATTTCAAAAGCAAAACATAATGCGCAAAAGATTAATTGGACTGATATGAGACAATTACAAAATATATATATATATATATCTTTTAGCGCGAAAACACTTATAGCAAAATAAATTACATTTAGAACAAATATTTGTTATAAAATTAAGCGAGGTTTTTTATATAAAGTAACATCTTACGATTGTTTAAAAAGGAAATAAATGTTCTTTGTTTAGCAAAGTTTGCAAGTTTTAATTTTATCTAAGCTAAATTATTTTATAAATAAAAAAAGTTAATTTTTTTAATACCTATTTTATGTTTCACGTAGTTTGAAAAGTTTTACATATTTAAAATAATTCTTCTTAGTAAGATAAACACATGAAATAATTAAATCATTGAATTACTATAGAAATTAAATTAACTAGATAGAAATCAATTAAAAAAGTTAAAAATATTTTATGACGAGGAAGCGAAACTGCTTAACAATATCGCTGATGATGTTTAGCGAGTAGGCTTTTTAATTTTAAAATTGCTTTAAAAGATTTCATTACAATAAAAAACAAATACACAAAATTACATTTACATAAAAAATACATACTTTTTAAATAAAAATTAAGAGTATACTAATAAAATCTATAATTTATAAAAAACTTTCAAAATTTTGACAATTTAAATAATATATATTTAAAACATTTATTTTTGTAAACAAATGATATTACTTTATAAGATTTACGACTTTGCAGATGTGGCTCTGAGAAGGAGCCATAGTATTAATAATATATTCTTAAAACAATATATGCTAGAAATCTCAAAATGTAAAAAATCGTGAATAATACAATTTTTAAAATGTTTCAACAGAATACTCTTGAACTTTATTTTGTTTAGTCAGCATATTTTTTGAACCAATAAAATTAGTTTGTTTGTTAATTTGGCAGGTTTTTAGTGTTCGCAAATATTCTTTTTATTCTTCCGCACCAAGATGTATTGAGAACATTTAAGTTTTTTATGTTTCCATGTATGTCTGTAAAACAAAAATTTTTGTTCCATACATAAGCTTAAATGTTCTCAAAACAACTAAAAAACCTGGTCAGTTTTTCACAATTAAATATAATTTCCGTGGTTAGTATTCAAGAGTGATTGCTCCCGCTTTGCGACCAAGCCTGTGAACGATTATTCGGTTTCAGTTGACGTTCTTTCAATGGCCGCTCTGTTTCTACATGATTAACTAATTCTGGTCCTGTATTGCTAAAAAGGTATGTTCGACACAGCAAATATGAACCTCTGGTTGATGAGATTGAGCTTTTAGAGGCTAATAGTAAATATTCTCATGTAAGAATGCCTGATGGACATAAGGCCACTGTTGCTACAAGATATCTTACACCAATGACTGATATAATCTGTGATAATGGTGGAAATAATAACTATAAAAAATCAGCACAAAACCATTCCAAATATGACTAAAGTATTCCATACTGGCACAAATGACTTATGAGAGATTTGTAGTATTCTGTACAAGGACAAATGATCTGTAAGAGTTTTGTAGATGTAGAGAATGGAATCAGGAGTAAGATAATGGCGAGCACAATAAATAAATTTTAAGAGTCCCAAGGAAGAGTAATTGTATAATTTCTCCCAGTTTTAGCCTTAAAGAACCCTACAAGGCAACAGGGCATAAGGTAGATAGCACTAGGTTACATGATACCATTCTCAGGGTGATGGTGATGATCCTGATTCTAATCTGACCTAGAGTAGTTAATAGAAGTTATGTTCTGTAAGCAGTAATTTAAAACATTGAACATGATATTCTGGAGATGCATAAGGAAAAACATTGCATCTGACAGAATACTAAAAGTTAAGGTGAGGGTAAGTTTAATGGTTAAAATGACTAGTTGGTAACTGAGCACACGCTGCATCAGAAATTTAGGCAGAACACTAACATACATACATATATTAACTTACGGGTAGGCAAACACCTCGACAAAGGTTCAGACAGAACACAAACACACGTATATTAACTTACAATTGAATATACACCACACCAGAGGTTTAGATAAAACACAAACATACTAATAGCAACTTACTGGTAAGTCAACTCTGCACTAGGCATTTAGACAGCACACAAACATAATTTATCTTAATATTTTTTCACTGGCATCTTTGACCTACATCTTCTTGAATTTTAATTGTTCCTATAGATAATGACGCTGCATTTCTGATGACAGAGGAAGTTATTGGATGAACTTGTTTTGAATCAGTTTCAACAAGCTTTCTGAGGTTGTCATCATGTTTGTCTTCTGTGCATTTACGCGAAAAACTATGTTTGAGGACAGTCAACTATCTAACACAACATTTCTCAGCACTGACATTTGAGTTTGATGCCGTTCTTGCAGAAGGTACCTTCTGAAGCAGCAGTGTGTTTCTAGAGGAGGGTGAGCTTGTTTTACAGGGATTATCTTTTTCCAGATATTTCTGATATTCCTCTTATTTTCTCAACTTTTAGTTTTTGCAGATATTAAAAATGTTTTACATATATACAAGTTTAGATATAAATTTTTGTTATATATTTGTTTTAAGCTTTTTCACTCATCATTCATACAAAACTAAGAAAAGTTTCAAAAAAATTAGAAACAACTCAGCTTAAAGCAAAATTAAGAGGCTGTTACACTTGAGTAAGTTCTTGAGTAGTTCTTATTAGACATTTGGCTGCAATAAAATTGAAGTTGTATAGAGAAAGAATAGTTTGTGATGACAAGACTAAATTCCATTTCTGAAGCAGAAATCTGCATTACCTGCAGATGCCTAGGTACCTTCTTTATTAAAGTTGGTTGTAGTTTGTTGTTGAATTTTATTTTATTTTATTTTTAGTTAATTCTCTATCACTCGTTTTCATGCGTATTAAACAGACACATTTTTGAACTTTTCATATGATTTTAATTTTTTTAGCATATTTTTCTGTTTTTTATGTTATGTTGGCCTAAGGGGATAAAACTAAAAAAATTGGTTTTCTTAGATATAATAATAAGATTTTCATTTTACAATTTATGAATGCACTAAGATCAAAGTTACAATATCTGTTATCTTAGGCTCTATTTTTAAACTGCTCTGTAAAAAAATGCTTTAAACCTAAAATTGTGACCTAGAATAAACAAGTAAAATCTAGTTAGTTAAAATCTAGTAAACAAGTAAAGCCTAGAATAAACAAGTAAAATAGTATTTAGCTATAATAAAACATTGAGTTTAAATTACCGTCAGCTGAAGGCAGACATGCAAGTAAAAATTATTTCTGTTTAGAAAGGTCTTACTAAGAGGAAGAATAATCAAGGTAGGTGTAATTATTTATCCATAATGTATATTTTGAAATATCCATAATGCATATTTTGAAATATCCATAATGTATATTTTGAAATATCCATAATATATATTTTGAAATATCCATAATGTATATTTTGAAAAATTGTTCAAGATTTTTTCTAGGTAAAAAAAGAAAATCTAATGAAAAATACAACACCGAGACTTTAGACATGTTTACTATACCATGCAGCCTTGAATTTCAATTAGAACGTGTTAGCATTGAAGAAATTGACTTATACCCTCAATATAAATACCATGACTTTAAATGGTTGGTTGATTTCTCAGTATGTGCTGCACTGATATATATTATTATTGAATTGATTGGTATTTATCGTCCAGATATTTACATAGAAGAATTTAATTTAGGTAACATAAATTCTGTTGAATACTATTTATATATATATATATATATATATATATATATATATATATATATATATATATATATATATATATATATATATATATATATATATCAACCCTCAGAATTAGGAAAAAGGAGGTTGGCAATAATTTGCTGATCTCAATCTTTTAGAGGTCGGCAAAAATTATTTGATACAAAGGTCTGACCATAAAACATAGAATTGAGGTCAGCAATTTTTTGACCTCAAACACTTTCAAGATGGCAGTTTTGGTCAGCATTGCCGAATGCCGACCCTATTCCACAGGTTGATATATATATATATATATATATATATATATATATATATATATATATATATATATATATATATATATATATATATATATATATATATATATATATGTATGTATGTATATGTATGTATGTATGTATGTATATCAGGGAAGAACCCAGAGTTTATTTGGGGATACGGTTTTTTTCCGGCAACGTTAAAGGGGGAGGGGAGTAGTGTTTTCCTTCCCTTCTTTCCAACTATAATTTTTAATAATTATTTTTTTGAATACATGAATTTACTGGAGGACGATGTTACTTTAGATACATTAAGAAAGCTATTTTACTTAAGACTTTAAAAAACACTTTTGTTGCAAATACCACCCTGTCATTTATTGACTAAGCATTTAATAAACAAATTCGTTAAGCATTTAATAAACTTATTTACTAATTATTTAATTTTAAAATTTTGATTTAAATATTAACAAACCTGTTCATTTAACTTTTACTAAAGGTTAATAATTTTTAAGTGATTTTAAGGCGCCTTTTAAATTAAAGATAATTAAAAAAGAGATAATTACGGTAAACAAAATTTTAAAAGTGAAACTTTTTTTTTGAATTTTATTTTTTATATTTTAAAATACATAAATTTAAAAAAAAATATTTTTTATATAATTAAGTAAAATTTAAAAACATTACGCTTATTAAATAAATTACATTTACTGTGGGTTATTTTACAGATTTTAATAAAACTTTTAAGTTATTGAAATCTTTATTTTTATTATTTAAAGAATATTGAAAAAAAAAAACTTTCATGTTTTCAAGTTTTGTTTTTTTCAGAAAAATGCTTTGTTTTTTCAGAAAAATGCTTCGTTTTTTGTTTTCCTCACGTAAATTAAAATAGCTAGCTAAAAATCCAAAGTTCAATCATTTACGAGATAGTTACGTCGCTTAGTAACCGAAGGCAAATTACGTTACATAGTTATGTAAAAAAGTTTTTACATTTTCTTTTTAATTCATTTTGTTGTCTTGAAGAAAAAATGAATTAGCTATAATAAACTGAAAATTATTTATATGCTACTGCATTAAAAACTAGAATTTTTTTTCTATTTTTCATAAAAAAACAAAAAAAAATTTAAATAAATAATTTTTAGGCACTTTTTTTTGGGCGCCCATACCGGTCCAATGGTACTAAAACTCGTCTAGGTTTTTCACTGTATATGTATATATATAGGTATGTATGTATGTATGTATATATATATATATATATATATATATATATATATATATATATATATATATATATATATATATATATATATATATATGTTTACATATATATGTATATATATGTTTACATATATGTATATATATGTTTACATATATATGTATATATATGTTTACATATATATGTATATATATATATACATATATGTATATATGTTTTTATATATATATATATATATATATATATATATATATATATATATATATATATATATATATATATATATATATAATGTACAATTAATTATATGAATAATAATTTTGATTTAATTCATAATAGTTAGAAAAACTAAATTGTAATTATTATATATCTGTAATAATAAATATACTTAAGATATGGTTCATGCTTTAACCGGAATAAAATGAACTTGTGCTCTGAGTTGCCTGAGAAAAACAAAAGTGGTGCGATTAACATTGTCAAAGCAAAAATTACATTAATGTTTGTAATTCAAGAAAGTTTACTTTCTGTTGATTGCATTTTACAAATCATTTTTTTATTAAATGTTGAAATTAAAATGAATGTAGTTTCTCTTTAAAAGATAAATTTAAAAAAGTTGTGTAAATAGATGTATTAACTATTATTAATTTTTTTTATTGCTATAAATAAATAAATAAATTATTTATTAATAGTATAAATAAATTTATTAATCTTAAACAATATTTGTTATAAAATTAAAGGAATTCAAAAGCTGGGATCCATTTTATAGATAACGTTAAAAATGTTTTAAAAATATTTAAAAAGGTTTACAAAATAAGTTATAACAATAAAAAGATATTTACAGAGTTATTAAAATATTAGTTAACAAAATATGTTCAAATTTATCTTGTTTCTTCAAGCCCTGTAATCACACTTGTTGTCTGATACTATAAATATTCTCAGATAGTGATCTGATATTTTAATAAATTTCATTTTTATCTAATTTATAGGACTGATCTTCCAAAGAGGTATAAGGATCAGTCAAGAAGAAATGGGATTCCTAGACATTAAAACCGCTTCTGTTAAAATTATTTATCACTATATCTCTTCTACAGCTTTTCTGTTTTATCCATACATACTTGAAAAGTATGTTAGGATAAAACAGAGATGTTTGAGTTTTTTATATATTTTAAAAATCATGCCCATCCTTATTGTTGTCAATTCTTCTCACTTATTTCTTACTGGTATAATTTTTTTGTAGGCACACTAGAAGACTTACAACTATCTTTTAAACTGACCTTGTATCAATAAACTGCCTTGACTATGCTGCACGAACTCTTCGGAATGTTATGTCATTGTATATCAGAGTTTTGCTCAGACCTCCTCGTTTAAGAATTCGTTCGTTCGGACCTCCTCGGTTAAGAAATATTGCATTTAATTCTTAAATAACACACACACTGGTTTGATCTTTGAGATTATGTGCATACCATGTAAGTACCAGTTTATTAGAGGACCTTTTTATAATGAGTTATATCCATACCAAGTTGTTGCCATGTTCCTTTTACTTCTATTTTCCCTTTCAACCATTTTATTGGACTTGAATCAATTGATTGATTGGCTATACATTTTCCACCACTTTTTCAACGAAGTTTTAATTATCCTGCTTGCTGCCATTTCAGAGGGTTATCAACTATTTTTAACCAACTGTGTTGGTTAAGTTAAACTCTAAGGACACAAGCTTGATATCCACTCTGAGTTGGTATTCTCCTGCAATAGTCTGAAGTCATCTTATCAACATTTTGTTTGAAGCTTTTGTCTACAGGGATCAATATAATGGTCGGGCATCGTTACCCCTCCAACCATTCTTGAGACCTACTAGAGGAGGGCAACAGACCATTGTTGATTTTTTTATTAAAAATGAACAGTGGTTGGTTGCCCCCATAAATCAGATCTCGAAAATAGTCAGAGGGGTGGTGATGTCTGGCCGTTAAATTGAGCCCTGGTCTATAAGCTAAATTTTCCAGTGAGTGCATCAGCAATTAATGACCCCAAAATATTATCACTGTATAATGATCTTCCTTTCTAGATCTTTTCTCTTGAACTTTGTCCAACACTGCTTTCATTATGACTGGCATAACATTTAGACCAAATCTCAAATGTCTTAAACCAAACTTATCCACAAATAACAACAGTTTGATAAGTCCAGAGTTTCTCATCAACTTTGAGCTGCATGTAAGCTGAAGGTAACTAAATGCTCAAAACATTTTCTCTACCGTTTCCAGTCTCAAAGATTATCCGCACATGTATCAGTGTTTGCCATAAATGCTTAAATAAATGTGTCACCTTCCTAAAGTCTAATACTGGTTGTACTTTTTTTTTGTTTTACTGCACCACTGCCAAAGATAGACCTTAACCCTTTACTAGACTGTGTTTTTTCCCTTTGTTTTTTTGCAACTATTTTTTCTCTATTTACCCTACAATTTCTTTTTTGTAATTGTGTTTTATACCAATGAAGATATTAGATTTATCTTATTTATAAGATTTATTCATTCTTGATTTTTTTTCCTGAAATGCAGCTGTGAAATCTCAATTATATTCATATCACTGACATCATCACTGACATCATCAGTAGCATATCATTTCTTAAACAGGATTTGGTTTTTTCCCATAAAACAATAATAAACAAGTTGCAGATATTGAAACTCCACCAAAAGCCATTATTCTATTCATTCCCATCAAGAAACAAGTGGTTTGAAGTCAACTACAAGTTCACACACACTGCATTTCCATTTGGTATGGCATTTTAAGTTTGGCTAACACCTCTCTGCTGTTGATGTTGTTGTTTATTAGACAGTTGCCACCCTAACTTCTTGTTTTGTTATGATTGTTGCAAATTTTTTATAAATAATGTAGTAAGTACAACCTTTTCAATAACACTAACAAATAAAAACAAGTCATTGTGAAGCCTTGGGCAATCTTAAAAATTATTTATCCTTTTGTAATTTTAGACAATGATAGTGTTTATTTTGATTTTAATGAACAGTTTTTAATGGGAAAAAAACACATACTGAAAGTTTTTAGTCCCTGTGTAATAAGTTGACTAATTATAATTAATATAAAAAAATAATTCATGATCAGGAGTTTATCCACTGTTATTAAGAGTGGTAGCCCTCCTTGCTGATCAAGACTTGACAAGACTAGTTTTGTTGTGCTGAGAAGACAGCAGCATCTAAAGCAGTTATCTCAATTGACTCACAGCCAGTGATTGATGACAGCAAAATCAAGCAACTATCAATAACTGAAGATTATCAAAAAAGCTTTCAAATATGGTCTTCTAAACCTACTTCTGAACTCATTCAACTACATATCTGGGCTAACAACCATTGTTTGCTAAATGCCCAAAAGCTTGATGAACTAAGGGTACAAATTAATGATACTAAAACAAATCGTCAACCATGCATTATGTTCATTGCAAAAACTTAGTTTACTAACATATCAGACACTTTTAGAGTGAGTTACCTCCTCCAT